ACTAACTGCCAGTTAGTGCTTTCTGGTCAATATGACGATCATCGCTTAATTATAGGCTTGTTTGCGGGAAGTCCAGCCTTCTAACAGCTATACTTTTGAATATAACACAGTGATTAGAAACAGTTATTAACAGGTTCGTGCTGTTATTCACCTGAGTCCCTAAAGCAAAAATTAGAAATCCTGTTTGAAGATGAAATATGACCACTAGAGAATGCAGTCAAGATCCTGAATGAGTTAGGAGTTCTGTTCCTCACTCATGCTCTGCAAGGCCAGCCAGAATATAGAACAAATACTTTCTGGAATATTTGGGGGAATAAATGGCAATCCAGAAGTCAGGGAGAATTTATCAACTAAGTAGCGTAACTAGGACAACCCAGAAGTAAATCCACAAGCCCTGCTTTGATTTAACTTTTTCTTCACTTGTGTAGTCTATGGGTTTTTCTTTGTTTTCCTTTACAATTGTTCTTCCTTGCTCTATATTATCTATTGTCTATCTATCCCTCCAATCCATCCTACTATTATCCTTTGCTAGTTACCTTGCCATCCAGACTGTTAATCTCAATAAGCCATTTGCTCAACCAGTGGAACCTGGGATGTACCTGTGCTGGACACTTACTGGTACATTTGATTCAGCTATTTATTGAACATACTGAATAACAAACACCAATTATTTTTTGGAATCTCTCTCTCATTTCATATTTATTTACTTACTACTTTAGTCAATTGATTTATTTGTTCCCCATCCATCCGGCCCTCAGCCACAAACACTTGCTTAATCTTGTTTTCTCTCTCATAACCACAATTACTCACCCACAACCAGTAGATCATCCTTATTTAGGAAATTACTTGCAATTTGGAGAGGGCAAAAGGGATACCAACAACAACAATGAAATAATTCAGGACCAAAACAGGAACTACTGGCTGTTAATTGATGTATCAGTGATGTAAAAAACCCAAACCAACTCAAACCACCCCTTGAAAATGATACATTTTTAAAATAGACTAGAAGACAAACTCCCAGTGCTGCTCATCAGTAGGGAAACGTCTCTGATAAAACAGAGGGAAAGGTGATTGTTATGTCTCTGTGATTATCACAATTCATTTAAATTAGATAAGATTGTTTTCACTAGGCCGTGTCTTATTTTAACTAATAAGTATTTCATTTCAAAAAATATTATGATTGTCTATGCCCTCTCTTTTTTATGGTGGATGTGTCTGTTTCTTAAACTGAATCACAGTAAGTCAGGCTTTTATAACCTATGTATGAACATTCATCTAATTTTGCTGCTGGTGCCTGCTATTCACCTTTGGCTGAGGCTTGAATTTTGCAATTGAAGTCATCACACATCTTGATTTCACTGGGCTGAGGAAAGTCTTGCTTCATAAAATCAGTATAGAATTAGGGCCTGAGAGTGTAGATTAGCATATTAAAGTATATGTTGTAGAATATGGAATATACAATATCATCTGATTAACATTACCTCTGATACATAAATTTTGTTTTCCCTTATTTTAGTTTTAGTGCAGACTGCTGATAGCCTCATTTTTGTGTTTAATTCTGCCAGTTGTGAGGAAAAAGGTTGATAATGGCTAAATTCAAGACATCTAACATCAAAAGAAATTTTGAACATTTGGACAAAATAGAACCAGGTGTGAATAAAATATCATATTGCAATAGTGTTATTAAAGCCATTAAAGCACATTTGAATTGGGTGTTCTATTAATTTTCAAAGCTGATATTTGTAAATGTATATAAGCAGGACTCTTGTAAATTTAAAACAGAGCATCAGGACTTGCTCTGGAATCTGTAATACCATCGTACTGTGTTTTGTTGATTCGTAATAATTCATAATTTTGTGTCTTTGAGCAGGGACCATCACATTTTTGTTTCTGAATAGCATCCTTGTTGGTTAGCATATAAAGTAAGAACAAAAATGTTATTAAAAAGAGATGTTAGTTGCATCTTGGCACAGGCATGTAATGTCTTTGATAGCACACTTAGTTACATATCCTCGGTATCTGTTCTGATGAACGGTCTTAGGGATTGTTTTGGTAATTTGCTAACTGCTTTTAAGTTAGAGCTGTTGTATTTCCATTTTGTCCCTTTGATGAATGTCGTGACAGTATGAATCTCAGACAGCCTTTCTGTAATTTTGAAGGAAACTAGGAGAGGTTGTATTATCATTTCTGTCTATGAAATTTACTTCTGAAGTGAATGCCATACATATTTCTGAAATGAATGCCAAATGTATTTTCTAGAAGTGAGTACCATTGAAAGCCAAGGCAGGCAATTTATACCATGCATAATAATGATATTAATTTTTATGGTGTGTATAAGTTACATTTTGATTAGTTTTTTGCATGATTAAAAATTTGCAAAGCCTTTATGGCCCCCAGGAGCCTACCTGTAATAAACAGCTCTCACCTTCCAAACCATAAAACAGGTCTGCAGTACTTGAACATTAGAGCTAATTGCCTTGCTACATCAAAGGGAGCACCACAAGACTGAGAAAAATCACAGAAGGAGGGGGTGGGGAGCGGGGGGCAGTTTCACCTCTAAAGGTTATGTGTTTGTGGCTTGGTGCAGCCCTGTAAAGTTATGGCCTCAGAACTGCTGTTTGCGATTAAGTTGATGGGGAAAGTCTATCCCACAATCTCTCCCTGCTGCTGACACAGAGTCTTTGTTCACATTCAGATTTCTCAAACTGTTGCCAGGGTCAGGCTGAGGTCAGACACCACGATGATGTATAGGAGAACATGTCTGGGAATTTCTCTCACACTTAAAACACATACCAGAAAAACAGGAGAGCACCCTGCAAAAATTGTCTGATGAGACCCAGATGATACTGTAGCTTTTCTTTTAGTACCTTCATAATTTTCTTTCTCTTTGCCTGACACACACACAATGTTTTATTAATGTGTGCCACGATAGCCCTTACAATTTTATGTCCCCTCAAGATAAGGACACTCAGTAGCACTTTGACACTTCATTTTCCAGCCCAGGGGGATTGGGCCAGTAAATCTAGTAAAAAAAGCAATGCGTCCATTCCCAAGGATGAGTCGAAAAGAGATTGCCATTGGCTCCGTGAGGCCATGGGGCCTGACACTGGATACGAGCCTTGTGTGTGCACTCAGCATTAGCACAGCCTGAGCCAGGCATGATCACAGGCTCGCAGCATCCCGAGCCGTGCTCCCCTCCACCCTGACAAACACAGCCCTGCTTCCAGCTGTGGCAGGGATGCCTACCATGTTTGATTAGCTATCGTTGTGGGAGGAGGTGGGGGACTGCAGGGGGGAGAGCACTCACAGAGCACGAAGGGGCTTTCCATTCGGATGGAAATGTTTTTTTTAATATGCAGTTATTTGTAAAAGCAGGGACCATCTTTCTCCCTGTATTGTTCCAAAAAGTGGACACGCATGCTTAGTCCTAACCTATTGTATTTCGATGTCAATGCAAAACACATTGATCTGTGGTTGAGATTTTTTTTGGGGGGGAGGGAGGTTGGTTTCCAAAATTGCAGCTGTGTTTTTCTCTTCTGGTTTACAAAAGAAAGGTTTTGCAAAGAGCTGAGAATCGGATAGGTTTGCCACATCGATCTGAGGGTTGTTTGCCTAGGCATACGGTTTCAGTGTATGGCTGGCAAGTAAGGCAATAAGCAGCAATTTTTTTTGTGCTCAGCTGCTACATATGACAGAGGATATTTCATTCGGCTGTCAGAATGTTATTAATAAAACATGGGGTGCGAAGAGGGCCACTATTTCCCCTTTCAATCACTATAGCATTTACAATGAAAATTTTATGCAGTGTGTAATTTTCAGTTAATGCTTGACACTTAAAATGTCGGTAGCTGCATTTTGTATGGTTCCTGAAGGGTTAATTGTATCATGTTCCCTGCATAAAAGCTCTGCTTATCAAAAGTGAATAGAAGAGTGTATGCAAATGTGTGTCTGTGACCTTTTGCCTTTCCAGGGTTAATTTATATGGTCATTAAAGATTTTATGAAATCGAGCGGCCTGGTGCTTCGAATCCCATTTTACCTTCACCTCCTAATTTATATAATTCCTACCTGAACTGGGAAATATGATTTCTATTTTTTGTGTGTGTGTGTGTGTGCTGCAATGAAAACAGCATGCTGTGCTGTAGGGAGTTGCAAGTCTGGTTATCTGGCATTACTCAGATTGCTAAAAATTCATTAAAATGTGACATCAGCACAGTGAGAGACAAATGATCACAGGATGAAAAGGAACAGTGGGCCTTTCACGGATTAGTGCTACACAGCCCCAGCATAGAAGCTAACTGCATAAACAGATTAATCCACCAGTAGCAGCATAGCTAAGATTTACCGAATAATTAAATGGGCTTGAGTTACTGTGAAGATTTCCATGTAATCTAGCTGGTGTGAACACGTAAGTGAGGTGTGGGTAATGCTGCTTCCTCAGAAGCCATACACCAAGTTGCATCATTTATCCTGAATGGCTCCCCCTGGAGACAAAATTTGAGACTTCTCCCGCAAAGCCAGAGGTTTATATTTAATACAGTACCTAATACCTAATACTTACTTACTGCAATTAGCGGGATACTGCTGCACTAATAGGATTTATATTTGAGTTCTCCCTTTTTTTTTTTTTTTTTTTTTTTTTTTTTGGCTCCAAGGTGCATTTTTACATGTGCTTGCTTTTGTTCCAGCCTGTGGGGTGTGTGTGTGTGCATGTGTGCGTGTGTATTTTAACACAAATCATTTCTAGCCCAAGAATATGAAATGACATGCTTTAAATCTGTCACACTGAGGGAAAGCAGGTATTCTGGTAAAGACACAGTCAGATTTTGAAATATTGCAAATTATTTGGAATTAATGCCAACCTCTTTAAAGCGCTGTTCTTTCCCTTTTCTTTCCCCCACCCCTTCTTTCTCCTGTTTTGCCACCCTCTGTTAGCTCAGTTCTTATTACAGGACATATTTTTTAACTGCTATTAAGTGGTCACTGAGTTTCTTTTCTAAGGTGTTTTCTGTGTTTGTCCACAGAAGAACAAGGTGAAGATACAGAAGGGTCTGCTAAAAGTGCATCAGTGGCTGTGGCTGATGATAAAGACTCAAGTGAGAGAGACAATAGTGAAGGCAAAAAATCTAGTAAAGACTCTGGTAAGATGCTAGAATTTTGTTTCCCCCCTTTTTTTAACTTATGAAATGCTCTTTCATTTTAAACTGTCTGGACATTCCCACTACTATTCATTGCATGTGCATTTTGCATGTGATTTCTATCAGTAGCCTCCCATTGACCTATTTTTAATCATAACCATCTGACAGGATAGATGCGGATAAGTTGAAGAATATTACAGGACGACCAGTGAGATTATTTTTTAATCAAATCAGTTTGTGTGCTTGTAATTTTTTAAGCGCCTTTCATTAATCTTAGCTGTACTTGTGATTCCTCTGATGGCATATTAATTTTTCATAAGCATGGGATTAGGTACCACTTGAATTTTTTTCTTCAATCAGGTTTTGCCCCCCTTTTAACCCAAAGAATGTAGGGTTTTTTATTATTTTTTACTCTTGCTCTCTGATCAGTCACTCCAAGAATCCGGCCTCTTCCTGGGCATTTATTTGAGGCATTTTCAAAAAAATACACAAAATCCAGTGAAAAAGTTTACAGATGATTCAGCCTAAGAAAGAGGAAATATCATTGAAAACGGATTATGGGTTGGGTAATTTTGATCTCCTGGAATAGACAAAGCCCAGTAATGAAAGCTACTGTCTTTGAAAACAAAACCCCTATGTCATGACATTTACTTGTGCACAAACAAACCCAGGGCCAGCATCTGGTGTAGATACCCAAGGCTTTTTCTGTGTTTGATTTGGCAAATAAGTGACTTCACCCGTGCTTTTTATGTATGAGATGGAAATCTATGGTCACAATGAATATTACATTGGCTACTTTTGCCGCACGCTATACCTAGTTACATTATGTTGGATTCACTCAAGCAGAAGAAGTGCTGAAACAGGTTGAAGCCTATTAGTTTCAGGTAGTCATATATCTTTTTCTTGTATGCCAATGACAGCAGCATACAAAGGAGGTTGTATTATCTGTAAAGACATATAGTTGTAGAGAAAATACCATTTTACATAGGAGTTTCTTAGCACCCAAATTCTCCCGTACTGCAATTTTCTCTTTACATATTAAATATTTTCGGATTTATTTCCAAAAAAATATTGTAGATGGACATTTCTATGCCAAGTCAATTCAGAATACTGACTTAAAGATTAAAGCTTCCTTTAAGTTTGCTTGTTGACATGCTAAGGTCACTACTCATCACAGTTTACAACCTCGACTGCTCTTCAGTCGCTTTATTTTTTGAGATAAAGAGACTGAGGAAAGGCCGATGATGATAAGGAAGATGTTGAGCAAGAAACAGTGTTGTGGTTTAAAATATATATTCCCCTTGACTGGCTCTCTGACTTGGTAAAAACTGTCTGCAGTGCAGTAAAGCCATGGTCCCAGGCTGACTCCTGTGCAGTCTCCTCAGGGGCCAGCCTGGACACTCCCCAGGAGAGGGGTGACAGCCACCTGCAGCCTGCATTTCCTCCCATACACTCTGCCTAGGGGAGAGTGTGAGCCGCTTCAGGGAATTAATCAGCGCTCTCTTTTTCTTAGGCAGGTCCATTTGTAGTTGTTCAAGAAAGAATGCGGTATTAAAGCTCCAGCAAAAAAAAAAAAAAATCAAATACGGAATCTAGAAAAAAATTACTGAAGGGGAATTCTCAAAATTCCATCAGGATTAGCCACTCATAAGGGCCAAGTTTAATTAGGACAAACCTATATCCAGATGCCTACTGGGTGCACTACAAAAAAACAGCATAATTGTTCTGCATTCCCGTGCCAGCAATTACACAAATAACTTTGCAGTAAGATTCATATGGAAACAAGGGCTGAAATACATGATTGCCTTTGTGCTTTGCAGAAAATAGTTTGTACTGTGAAATCCTGAATCTTTTAGAAACTTTTATTTTCCTAATCTAAATTAATTCTGCATATCTAACATTCAGACCATCATCTTAATTTTCACTCAGCTGACAAGTATTTCTAATGACTGCATAACTGCTTATGTATAATTGAATGTTAATTTGGGCTGTCTCATGAATTGAGTGTTGCAAGTCTTGCCAAAGAAATCTCAGGAAAACCAATAAATTAATCACAATACTAACAAGTTAGACAGGAAAGTGGTGTGACCCCTCTTTAGCATAGAATCTATTAGACAAGAAAAGGATTAACATGTATTTAGTAACAGTATGTTTGTGTAAGCTGTTGTGCTGTATTGCTTACCTTATCTCAAGGAGTAGAGCTTTCAAAATGAGACTTGGCAATATGCAAGTTATATTTGTTGAATATTCATTCAGAATAGAAAAGCCTACTAATGCCTCATTTATATTGTCATTTAAATCTAGTGCCACTTTAGATTAATTATAATCCAAATTACAGCTCTATGCAGTGCAAGAATTAATATGGAATTTATCCAGATTAATACATTTGCATTGAAAATGTAATATGTCTCTGCCATGGCTAAGGGGAGCACTTTTTAATAAGGTAGTAAACATGAGGAAGGATGGAAATTAACCTTCATTATTGCAATGAAAATTATCCTTTCATTCTACTCTAATTAGAAAGAATACTCTACCAGTAATTATAATTTTAGAATTATTTTGAGGCTGAATAACATCATCTGATGTGTCAGAAGTCTTAAATTATGCAATCTTTATCAAATACAAAGATTCATAAATAAGAAAATGGTGTTTTGATTATGGCTTTTCCAGGATCTTTTTTCTTGCTAGTGTATGTACTTTATTAACTTTCTCCTTGTTAGTCACACAAACAATTTTTATTTTTATTTTGGGGTTTCAAAAATGTTGCAAAGTTGGTGACATCTGAACTGCAGTGAATTACATCATTTTTATACTAGCAATCTTACACAAGTGAAATAATTCTGTTACTGACAGGCAATCATTGACTAGTCTATTTCGTGGCACTTACTTGTAATTAAACTTATTTTTTTGAGCTAAATGTATTGAGATTATATTATTCATCTAAAATAAGCTGCATATTTTATGTTATGAAATGAATTGCAGTTGTGTTTCACAATTGTGAAAAGAAACCCCAACAAATAACGTGTCTCAAGAATAAAAAGTCAGTATTTGGAACATGAACAACAACTGAATGTAGTATTTTCCTACAACTGCCTGGTAAGAATAGCATGCCAGTGGAACATCTAGCTATGAGAAAAGTGCTACATGGCATGCTCAAGGCCGTATTTTATCTCCTCTCTCCCTCCTCCTTCAGTAGCCTTTCTATAAGACCATAACTTTGTTCAGCCTTCCTATGGAAACTCCTTGAAACAGTGAATTAAACACAGAAATCAGAGCATTGATACAGCAAGATGAGGGACTGAGCTGTAGTAGCTGGACCATTATCCAAGGAGCCAGACTCCTTTTGGATTTGGCATGTACACTGTGTTTTGGGGGGTTTGGTCTTCACCATGTGCAGGGCAAGTGATGCCCCTGTGCCAGAGGGCAAATTCAAGCCCCCCTTTTTTTTTTTTCAATGCTCACTATAAGTCACAGACTCAGTTACTATTGGCCAGATGTAACTTCAGTCATGTAAGAAGTAACAGTGCTTAGAGTTGAATGAATCCAGAGCCACAACGACAACAAAAACAACAAAGCCTCTGTAAATTTCAACAGTTTATATAAACATCATAGTAAACATAGTAAAAAGCTGTGCTTTGTTATGCATTTATTGACCCCAGCACGGTGTTTTATAACTCTACGGTTTTATTATATTAACCGCAAAAGAAAATTTAACCAAAACCCCCCCTTGTTTTTATAGAAACAAGAACTATGTGTTTCATGATTATTATAGGCCCTTTGAAGTAATTAAGTTATTCCATCCTGTGGTGGAAGATGATGTGTAATATTAACCTTGTGTGTGCCCAGGCACACACAGGGTGCACTTCAAGCTAAATTTCACTTGCAGTTAAATACCACTGCCAAAACACAGTTAAATGTATTTTCAGAAGTAAATTTTGTGGCAGAATTTGATTCCTAGTTTCTGTAACAACCTGTTGAGAACAATCTAGCATGATGAGGTGAGGAGTAGGTTCCATTTTGGTTTTTATATTCAGCTACCTCTATTGCAGTGTTCACTTACACCAGCTGAAATTCTGGCCCATTTGTCTTTAAAAAGGGACATTTTAAAAGTGACACGTGATAAAGGTAAGAAACAGTAGTCAACTGTCAGACGTTTTTGACAGTTGGAAATGAAGACAGGTTAATAATTTGAACCTATCCTTCTAAACCCTGAGAAGCAACCTTTCTCTGTTAATATAGTATGTCACTTTTTTACTTCCCATAATTCTCACAGTTTAGACACTTAAATAATATGTAAATACAGATAGGCCAAGGAGTCCTCTGTTATCATAAAGCAAAGTTAGTAATAATATGGTGTCTTACATGATTGCATCATTTTAATTTTACCTTTAAGCATTGCTAGTCCTTCTGGTTGTCGGCCCAGCACTGAGCAGTCTAAATGAGGCCTCCAGGATCCATTCCTGAGAGTGTGAAAATTCAGGGGGCTCTGAAAAGCCACTTGTTCAGATATTAAAATGATGATGACATATTGATCATTAAAAGAGAGAAATATGGCAGGAATAAGCCTTAATTTGAGCCTGAACATGCAAAAATTCCTAGTCTAAATTGCACCAAAAGAAGTAATAGCAACCTAGGGATGAAAAACAATGTGTGAGGAAATCACCGTAAATATGTAAGGCATAAAATATGTTTGTTTGTTTTTTTTAAAGTGCCCTTCAGAAAACGTTCCTGAGTGATTCAGTTTTCAATTGTTTGTTATTTTACCATGAGGGTTTGGTATTTACCTTGAAAACTGTTTCCTTATTTTACTTTACTTTAACATTGCTCCTGTAAGATCAAATATTGCACAAAGTCTATATGAAAAAAAAGTTCTTGGTTTTGTCCACAGAAAAATACAAGTGTTTTCTTTGTTCATGTTTACTTTGTTGCCAAAACATCTATGACCTTATTTTTAAATTAATCCTAGGTTATTGTGCAATGAGGTGCAATTTGTTCATTTATATGAACCTTATGTGGATTGAAAAAAATCAAGATAAATCTTCATGCACAGCATACAATCAGATTACCCCTGGACTATATATTTACGTTGGGTCTGATAGCAATCAATGGTTTAGCTTCATTGCATTTCAAGATGTATTTGCACCCAGTGTCCAGTGATAGTGTCCTCACCCTGGAAATAATTTAGTTGCAAATTGACTGGAAGATGGTGAAAATTGAAAGTTAAAATTAGAAATACTCATAATAAACAGCAGAAAAAAAGGTCAGATGATGCCGCACTATGATGAGATTGGAATGGTTGGTAAATGAGGTTTTGTGTTTGTCGTGAGATGTATGTGACATGCCTACCCAATGCTCTTGTAATATCCAGCCTAGCAGAAGAGATTATCTGGCAAATTGACGCTGGAAAGAATTTTCTGATGGACTGGGAAATTAGAATTGCACTCTTTTCTTTGATGTGTGCAAGACTGGGCCGCATTACACAGCTAGTTCAGGCATAATATTAAATATAGTATTTAATACTTTATAGTAGAACTATCTATAGAAAACAATTATATTCTGGTTTTGATCACAAATGCCAGACTATAAAAATTCAGAGTGTAAACATCTAAGGCAATCCCAAATGACTGATCTTTGTATATAATTAATATTAAGTTAGCTCTGAAATCCTATTCTCCACAGTATTTCTTTTAAAGCCTCACTGTATTTTGCTTCAGAATTGTAACCAGGCAGGAGTTATCAAAACAGCACAATAATCATATTGCTCAGACAGTTTAGAAAAGAGAGAGGGTAATTAAACAGCAACAAATTAATTATTTTGGAAAACAGGCTTTTTAAGCAAAAGCTGGTTTGTTTTAATGTAATACACAAATTCATACTGAGCTGCTAAAGGAAGAACATTATTGATTAATCTTTAAAGGCAACCTAAGGTTATCTAAACAGTAGAGTCCATTTTTAAATGTATTTATAGAGTCTCCATCAAGGATAACAGTGTATTTTCACCTTTGTGCTTACCAGCATTGTTTTATTCAATCCTCAGAGTTTACCAAAAAAATCCTCAAATACAATACAGACCTTTGAAGCCAGAGCCTCTTTGTAAAACAGAATATTTTAAAGTTTGAAACATGTTCTTAAAAATTATGTTTTTGAAACAGGAGTAGTCACACCAGAGAAGGAACCAAAAGTGAACACTGTGGTAGGGGCACAACAGCTTCTTCTGGCAAAAGAAGAGGATGGTGCAGCTAAAAAATCAAAGCCTCAAGAGGACAATAAATTTTGTCATGAGCAGGTAAAAGGAAATGTAGCAATTTAATTGCATTCTAGAACTCTTTCAAATAACTCAAGAATGAAACAAAGATTATATGCTGTTAAAATAGCAGTATCAGCAAGTTATAAAAAGCAGTGACTAATAGCTTGCATCTTAATTTGGTTTTTTTCAGTTCTATCAATGTCCTTACTGTAACTACAATAGTAGGGACCCAAACCGTATCCAGATGCATGTCCTGTCACAGCATTCAATGCAACCTGTTATCTGCTGCCCCCTCTGCCAAGATGTCCTCAGCAACAAAATGCATCTCCAGCTTCATTTGACCCATTTGCACAGTGTGTCCCCTGACTGTGTGGAGAAACTACTCATGACAGTAAGTGTTCCAAATACTGATGCACATGCTACAGAAACATACTTGGGCCTTTGGGCAATGTATTTGTTGTGACATAGTATTCAGGTAGCCTGAGGAGGGGAGTGGGTCAGGACTCTTAGGTTCTCTTACTGGCACTCAGCCAGTGACCGATATCCCTTTGGAAAATGACTGAAGGTGGATTTCAGAGATGCAGAAAACTTGCAATTCCTCATTGACTTTAACCTTGGAAAAGTCAAGTGAGTCCATTCCTGTAAGTGCATACCTGTAAATTTGATCTAATAATATCCATGTCTCAGACGTATTGTGACTTATGTTTGTAAAATATTAGGAATTCCCTGTAGAATGTAGTTCCCAAACATAGAAGTATTCCTGTGTATAGCTCTACTGTGCATTATATTACATGAAATTCACTGTACAATAGCAATTCAAATAACCATTCAAAACTATGTAAGTAAACACACAATCAGGTTTAGTACGTATTTGTTACTACAGCATAAAATCAGCTAGAAAACAGACCTCCTAAGACACACTGACTCTGGTTGTCTTGCCTTTTTAAAAGGAAATGCACCTGCAAATCTCAGTGATCCACCTCCTTAAGGGTTTATTTCTGTATCCATAGACTCCTTCATTTATATGGAGGTTGTGGTTGTAGGTCTATCATCTCATTCCCAACTTAAGTGGCAAAAACATCAGAAATAATTGAAAGAGCTCTTGACTGAATGTTTAGGGTTCCTCATGCTTCGAGCTGATGAGCAAATACACACTTGGGGATTCTTCTTTGTCTTGTTTTTCTACTAATGATAGCTCTGCCAGACTATGTGATTTTGGCCTACAACAAGGAAAATGTAGTAGAAATTTAACTTTCATAAAACCTTTTAGGAAACTGGAAAAATGTGAAAAACTTCCCCCTCCATACTGGGCAGCATTAGCATTCTTCTTATGTTCTCCATGATTCTTTCTATGGAACAACTTTGAAAACTCCCCTCTCCAGATGCTGGAGAGGTGTCCCACTGTTTCTGAGAAGCAAAAAAAAAAAAAAAAAAAAAGAGGATGTTTTGCAGAAAAAGAGACTGCAAAACATAATCTGTATAAATGAAATTGTTCTTGTTGCTAACATTAATATGCTCTGTCCATAAGTGAACCCTTTGATGACAAAATAAATACAATTTGCAGCAAATTTATGTTCTCTTGGACGTTTATAGTTATCTACATATTTATTTTTTGAAAGACTTCCCAGGTAAACTCAAAGTCATTAGTCCTCTGAGAGAATGCTATTAACGCCATGTTTAAATTACAAATACACTAAAACCAGGGCTTGTTAAAATCTCTAGAACATTTTTTTCCATTAGACAAATCTAATTTTAAATGGAAATAAGATGCCATTTCTGTATGGAAATAAATACAGTTTACTTTCAAAGATCATGGAAAGGCCAGTATTTGTGTTAAAAACAACACAGGTGAAGCAAAGGGAGAATGCCCTCAGTCAAGAACTGACTGGTGACTATATGTCAACATCATCTCTGTCTTTGGAGAATGTCCTAGGAGAATTCTTCTGATAAATCTGACAATTCTACGTATTCAACAAATACTTCTTTGTGGTGATATTGAGACTAATGAAATATGGAGTATATGTAGTTCTATAGCATCACTTTATTATGGATTATTTTCAGTTGAGTCTTCTCCAAGGGTCGCATGATGCTCTGGATTTGTGGTTTGTCAGAAACCATTAACAAGGGCTGAATCAGGATCTTGATTTAGTACAGACAGTTTTTCATCTAGATGTGGTGAATCTTTTGAATTATAATTTCATACTGTTGTATAGTCTTAAATAATGTGACTTTTTTCCATAATAATGCCCTATTCTTGGTTTTCAAAGGTTCCTGTACCAGATGTCATGATGCCCAATAGTATGCTATTGCCAGCAGCTGCTTCAGAGAAATCTGAACGTGACACACCTGCAACCATTACAGCTGAGGGATCTGGGAAATATCCAGGTATGCAAGAAAACCCTCAGACATGTAAAAGCTAGGTATAGGCAATTTAGAAATAAACTACCTGTTTCTTAGTAAAGGGAATCTTTTTTTTTGGCTTCCTTATAGCCACAGAAGTAAAAAGATATAAGTAATAAAGGGTCTGAATTTGGCTGACTGCAGTCATGCAGTGCTGTGGAATGCATGTGTATACCAGACTGCTTGATGTTGGTGGAGGTAAAATTAAACAGCAGTGCCTAGCCACTTTGAAGGTGACCCTCCTTGTTTAACCAAAACATCCGACCCAGTCCTAAAAGACAGTGGCACTTTCAACATTGATGGGGAATGTTAGGTAAGTGATTTTGTCTGCATTTCCAATAGGCTTCTGATCCTGGACACTTACTGTACTCTGCACTTGGAAATTTTGCTGCCTGTCATAGCATGCTTCTCCCTCTGTCCTCAGACCACTTTCCTCCTCCTGTCTAATCATCTGTTCTACCTATTGTCTCTATTTCTACTCCTTCTCTCTTTCCTAGCTTATTTCCTTTTTTTTTTTGTTTGGTGCTCCCATTGTACAAGTAAACTCCTACCTTCTGACAGAGGGAAGCCCCATGCCACTCCTGGGCCAGCTGCCGCTGCCAGTCTGATCATTGCGTATGGGTTTTATTACTTTTGTTAACCTCCTCTTAGTCCTGTCTGCTTTATTTTCTGGGACAAAGATGGATTGCTATGTTTTGCTAGGCCAACACATGGCATACCACGTGCCTCTCTTGATTTCTGATGAAAACAGGATTAAAATGAAGACTATGTGCTATTCTCTTCTATTTGTTTAAAAGACACTTCACTTTCTTTAACTAGGTGAAAGTCCTGTGGATGAGAAGAGTACCCCTGGGAACGATGAATCAAAAACTGGAATGGAAATTAAGACCGAGGAACAGAAGCCACCTAAGGAATCTACTGAAACACCAGACTGGAATAAGAGCAGCAGTAAAGATATAAAGACCACTGACTCTATGACGGATCAGCTAAATGAACAGCAGAAGAAGCAACAGCTGTCTGTTTCTGACCGCCATGTCTATAAGTACCGTTGTAACCATTGTAGCTTGGCTTTTAAGACTATGCAGAAGCTTCAGATACATTCCCAGTATCATGCTATTCGGGCAGCTACCATGTGTAGCCTTTGCCAACGTAGCTTTCGTACATTCCAGGCTTTAAAAAAACACTTGGAAGCAGGCCACCCTGAACTCAATGAAGCTGAACTTCAGCAGCTGTGTGCGTCTTTACCTGTCAATGGTGAACTCTGGGCAGAAAGTGAAAGTATGGCACAAGACGATCATGCACTAGAACAGGAAATAGAAAGAGATTATGAGATGGACCAGGAAGGTAAAGCAAGTCCTGTAGGAAGCGATAGTAGCTCTATTCCAGATGATATGGGCTCAGAACCAAAGCGGACCTTACCTTTTAGAAAAGGGCCAAATTTTACTATGGAAAAATTTCTAGATCCATCTCGCCCATATAAGTGTACAGTGTGTAAAGAGTCTTTCACCCAAAAGAACATTCTCTTGGTCCACTATAACTCAGTGTCCCACCTACATAAACTCAAAAAGGTATTGCAGGAAGCATCGAGTCCTGTCCCTCAAGAAACCAACAGCAGCACTGACAACAAACCCTACAAATGCAGCATTTGTAATGTTGCATATAGCCAAAGTTCTACATTGGAAATCCACATGAGATCTGTGCTTCATCAGACAAAGGCAAGGGCTGCAAAATTAGAACCAAGTGGTAATATAAGTAGCGGAAATAGTGTAGCAGGGAATGTTAATAGCCCCAGCCAAGGAATGCTAGAATCTATGAGCTTACCAGCAGTTAACAGCAAAGAAACACATTTAGATGCCAAAGAATTAAATAAAAAGCAAGCTTCTGAATTAATTTCTGCTCAGCCTACACATCACCCACCCCAGTCACCAGCACAACTTCAAATGCAACTACAGCATGAACTGCAACAACAAGCTGCGTTCTTTCAGCCCCAGTTTCTAAATCCAGCTTTTTTGCCTCACTTTCCCATGACACCAGAAGCACTGCTGCAATTTCAACAGCCTCAGTTCCTTTTCCCGTTCTATATACCTGGGACAGAATTTAGTTTAAGCCCAGATCTGGGTTTGCCTGGTTCTGCCACATTTGGTATGCCTGGAATGGCTGGTATGACAGGATCACTGTTAGAAGATTTGAAGCAGCAGATACAAACTCAGCACCATGTTGGCCAAACTCAGCTACAGATACTGCAGCAGCAAGCACAACAGTATCAATCCACCCAACCCCAACTTCAGTCCCAAAAGCAGCAGCAGCAAAGTAGCAAGCTGATGAAAGCAGAGCAAAATACCTTAGTAAGTACGGACTGCCAGCTGATAAAGGATATGCCATCATATAAGGAGTCAGAAGACATTTCTGATAAACAGGAGAAGCCAAAGCAAGAATTTAGTAATGAGAATGAAGGACTAAAAGAAAACAAAGATATGAAGAAGCCAAAATCCTCAGAACCAGCCATCCCACCACCCAGAATAGCTTCTGGAGCAAGGGGGAATGCAGCCAAGGCTTTGCTGGAGAACTTTGGGTTTGAGTTAGTTATCCAATACAATGAGAACAGACAAAAAGTGCAGAAAAAAAGCAAGACTAGTGAAGGTGAAAACACTGACAAACTGGAATGTGGAACGTGCAGTAAGCTCTTTTCCAACATTCTTATTCTGAAGAGTCATCAAGAACATGTACATGGACAGTTTTTTCCATATGGAGCATTAGAAAAATTTGCCCGACAGTACAGGGAGGCATATGACAAGCTTTATCCAATTTCTCCATCTTCTCCAGAAACACCACCGCCTCCACCACCACCTCCTCCACCACCACCTCCTCCTCCTCCTCCAACTCCTTCTCAGCCTTCTTCAGCTGGGGCTGGAAAAATTCAAAACACAACTCCCACACCGTTGCAAGCTCCACCACCTACACCTCCACCACCACCTCCTCCTCCACCACCACCTCCTCCTCCACCACCACCACCATCAGCCCCACCTCAAGTCCAACTTCCTGTTTCGCTTGATCTCCCACTTTTCCCTCCTATTATGATGCAGCCAGTGCAACATCCTGCGTTGCCTCCTCAACTCGCCCTCCAGCTGCCACCAATGGATACTTTATCTGCAGACCTTACCCAGCTTTGTCAGCAGCAGTTAGGATTAGACCCCAATTTCCTGCGGCACTCTCAGTTCAAACGTCCACGTACAAGAATCACAGATGACCAGTTAAAAATCTTGCGGGCTTATTTTGATATTAACAATTCTCCAAGTGAAGAGCAGATCCAAGAAATGGCTGAGAAATCTGGTCTTTCACAGAAAGTTATCAAGCACTGGTTTCGTAATACACTGTTTAAAGAACGACAGAGAAATAAAGATTCTCCATACAACTTCAGCAACCCTCCTATAACAGTATTGGAAGATATCAGAATAGATCCTCAACCTTCAGCTGTAGAACCCTACAAGTCTGATGCATCTTTCAGCAAGAGATCATCCAGGACTCGGTTTACTGACTACCAGCTTCGTGTCCTCCAAGACTTCTTTGACACAAATGCTTATCCAAAGGATGATGAAATCGAACAACTTTCAACTGTACTTAACCTACCTACTCGAGTTATTGTCGTATGGTTCCAAAATGCACGACAGAAAGCTCGCAAAAGTTATGAAAATCAAGCTGAAACTAAAGACAATGAGAAAAGGGAACTGACAAATGAGCGTTATATTCGAACCAGCAACATGCAGTATCAGTGCAAAAAGTGCAGTGTGGTTTTTCCCAGGATTTTTGATTTGATTACACACCAAAAAAAGCAGTGTTATAAAGATGAAGATGATGATGCTCAAGATGAAAGTCAAACTGAAGACTCTATGGATGCCTCTGATCAAACAGTGTATAAGAACTGTACAGTTTCTGGCCAAAATGACTCATCAAAAAGCCTGACAGTTACTGCAGCAAGCTCTGGCTCTGGTTCTAGTACTCCTTTGATTCCATCACCCAAACCAGAACCTGAGAAAGCTTCTCCTAAACCAGAGTCCACAGAAAAACCAAAACAAAATGAAACCATCTCTAAGCAAACAGATACAACTTCCCAGAGCACCAAACCAGTCCAGTCGACTCCAGTAACCTCTTCTGACCCTCAGCCCTCAGCTTCTCAACCACAACAACAAAAGCAATCACAGATAGTAGGGAGACCTCCTTCTGCATCACAAACCACACCTGTTCCTTCCAGTCCTTTACCAATTTCAATGACTTCTCTACAGAACAGTCTACCTCCTCAGTTATTACAGTACCAATGCGATCAGTGTACTGTTGCCTTTCCAACTCTAGAACTTTGGCAAGAGCACCAGCACATGCATTTCCTAGCAGCCCAAAACCAATTTCTTCACTCACAGTTTTTAGAAAGACCAATGGACATGCCCTATATGATATTTGACCCCAATAACCCTTTGATGACTGGGCAGTTACTTAATAGTTCTCTTGCTCAGATGCCACCTCAGACTGGGTCATCACACACTGCACATCCTGCTTCAGTTTCTGGTTCCCTTAAACGAAAACTAGATGATAAAGAAGACAATAACTGTAGTGAGAAAGAGGGAGGAAACAGTGGAGAAGATCAACATCGTGATAAGCGTTTAAGAACTACAATTACTCCAGAACAGCTGGAAATACTATATGAAAAGTACCTACTAGATTCCAACCCCACCAGAAAGATGCTAGATCACATTGCACGTGAAGTGGGACTGAAAAAGAGAGTCGTACAAGTCTGGTTTCAGAACACAAGAGCCCGAGAAAGAAAGGGACAATTCCGGGCAGTTGGTCCAGCCCAGTCCCATAAAAGGTGTCCATTTTGTCGAGCTCTGTTTAAAGCAAAATCAGCTTTAGAAAGTCACATTCGCTCTCGACATTGGAATGAAGGAAAACAGGCTGGCTATAGTTTGCCTCCGAGTCCTTTGATATCAACTGAAGATGGAGGAGAAAGTCCACAAAAATACATATTTTTTGATTACCCATCACTGTCATTGGCAAAAACTGAATTATCAAGTGAAAATGAATTAGCCTCCACTGTATCGACCCCTGTTAGCAAAACTGCAGAAATGTCACCGAAGAACCTCTTAAGTCCTTCTTCTTTTAAAGCAGAGTCTAGTGAGGATATAGAAAATTTGAATGCCCCTCCTGCTGACTCTGGATATGATCAAAACAAGACTGACTTTGATGAGACTTCATCAATTAATACAGCAATTAGCGATGCCACAACAGGGGATGAGGGGAACAATGAAATGGAAAGCACAACTGGCAGTTCAGGGGATGCAAAACCTGCATCACCCCCCAAAGAACCAAAAACACTTGTGAATGACACACTACCAAAAGCAGCAACTACACCTACAAATGAGAATACTGATGATAAATTTCTCTTTTCCCTAACAAGCCCTTCAATACACTTTAGTGAAAAAGATGGTGATCATGACCAAAGTTACTACATTACGGATGACCCTGATGATAATGCCGATCGCAGTGAAACTTCAAGCATAGCTGATCCAAGTTCACCTAACCCATTTGGAGCTAGCAATCCCTTTAAATCCAAAAACAGTGATCGGCCAGGCCACAAACGTTTCCGAACACAAATGAGTAACCTTCAGCTTAAAGTTCTCAAGGCTTGCTTTAGTGACTACAGGACTCCAACAATGCAGGAATAGAATGAGATTGGCCTGCCCAAACGTGTGGTCCAGGTCTGGTTTCAGAATGCCCGGGCTAAAGAAAAGAAATTCAAAATTAACATAGGGAAGCCATTCATGATAAATCAGACTGGACCTGACGGGACAAAGCCAGAATGTTCTCTATGTGGTGTGAAATATTCTGCGCGCTTGTCCATAAGAGATCACATCTTTTCCAAACAACATATTATGGCCTGCCCAAACGTGTGGTCCAGGTCTGGTTTCAGAATGCCCGGGCTAAAGAAAAGAAATTCAAAATTAACATAGGGAAGCCATTCATGATAAATCAGACTGGACCTGACGGGACAAAGCCAGAATGTTCTCTATGTGGTGTGAAATATTCTGCGCGCTTGTCCATAAGAGATCACATCTTTTCCAAACAACATATTACAAAAGTGAGAGAAACTGTGGGAAGTCAGCTAGATCGGGAGAAAGATTATTTAGCTCCTACAACAGTTAGACAGCTGATGGCACAACAAGAATTGGATCGCATAAAGAAGGCTACTGATGTGCTAGGATTAACAGTACAGCAGCCAGGCATGATGGACAGCAGTTCTCTTCATGGTATCAGTTTGCCAGCAGCTTATCCAGGACTCCCTGGCCTTCCTCCTGTTCTTCTGCCTGGAATGAATGGTCCATCCTCCTTACCTGGATTTCCACAAAGTTCAAACAGTAAGTCTATAAGGGGATGATTTTCTCATTTTATTAATTGCATCATCTTGCATAGTCACCATACCCTTCTAAGACACAGCATATTATGCATTTATATCATGCTTGTTGCACTAGTGTGAGTAGCTAAAAAGTACTGCTATGAGGTGCACTCAGTGCAGTTCTCAATTATTGCTGTAGCCTGAATGACAGCTCTGATTTCTCAAAAAAAAAATTTACAGAAATGATTTTGTCCTATATTAGGTTTCTGTAACAAAAGCAATATATCTATAGCACTGTTATGTTTTCTTGTTTGTTTTGAATGATGCTCCTTTAGGCAAAATCTGGGTGAGAATTTTGTATGTCAATTTTTTGTGTGCAGATATTTAAAGTAACTGATCTACATAAAGTAGATCAGTCCAACCTGTTGTTTAATCCAGAAGAAATATTTAAAATAAAATGCTGCCCAAGACCCTCCATTACATTTCTGAATAATTGCCTGGTAAGATAAGAAGCGTTTTGTTGAAGATGATTTGTAATGGCAGTTTCATTGTAATCCAAATTCCAGGAGTTTATAAAGTAATTGCAGATATGTACTGTTTATTTGGGTTTGCTCTTTTAACTGAACATGTAACTCTTGTTTTACTGACTGTTTTGAGTCTCTTTTGACTCTGGGTTTTGCTCACATTGGAAGGCATTTCCTCTTGCAATAAGTTTCACTGATGTTAGGGAATCAAGTTTTCTGCAGCATGATTTGTTTAGTCCTCAAAGAATGAACCTAATTTATTTCTTGTATTAGTCTCCAGTGTTGCAGTCAGGGTTCATTGTGAGTGCAGCCTTGCAGATTGAAGCTCTCCCATTCATCTTCTACTTTGCACATTCATATCAAGTATGTGCATAGCAGAGTTAGGAAGCTGGTTAAGACCCTTCACCTCATTTTATCCAGTAATCCCACTTGCTGTTGATCTCTCAACTTTGCTTGAGAAAGCAACACACTTTGGCAAGTTAAGAAGAGGCTTAATCACCAGTGTTATTAGACGTACTAAGACTGTAGCAATGTCTTCTCTGTTACCCAGGTCTGCTTTGATTGATGATGATCATGTTATTGTTTCCCTAAGTGGTGGTCAAAACATCTTGTTTTTCTCTTCATTGGATCAGAATGGCTTTCCTTCCACAATGGAGTCTCTGGCTGAGTGCCCTCTGGCTTTTGTCAAACAGTTATTGGCACAGAGAGTGCATATAAAGGAAATATAAAGTTGCTGTATTTCCTTCTTAATGGCATACAGTGTCCAGGTCCAAAAATGGCTGGTTGTTGTTCATTAAAATTATAGATATGATTTCTCTATATAACCTTGCTAAATAGCTTTGGTTAGGTTGACCTTCAGGTAAAATGGACTCCAGAATACTCAGGCTTTGTCTGTACTGTTAAATGAAATTTACTTGGAAATATATTCTTTTACTCTCTAAACCAGGAAATTCCCATACGAGATGAGTCTGGAGAATGGTCATGGACTCCTGATAACTCTTGGCTGTGCTCAGGAGTTGTTTAGGAGAGGGCTAGTTGGCCCAAGCCAAAACACTGTCAGTGACTATTCTTACTGTTTTACTTTACCGAAGGTTTGGTTTGTTTCTGGGAAATGTTCCTGGATACCCTTTAACTCACTAGTAGCAATGTAGCCTCAGAGTCTGTAAATTGTCCTGTTAATAATACAAAAAAGCATTATTACAGGCCAACTGGTCCATAATAATTCAATTTTCAAGTTTTCTAATTTCCACCAAATATCTCTTCTTTGAGATAAATTTAAATCATTAGTACCATAGCATGCACAGTGCACTGCCAATTGAGATGGATTTTTACCCTCTTTCATCTTGCATCTTCTTAAGGTTAATTAGCCCATTGTGGGCAAAGCCCACTGTGTAAACTAGCTACTAGAATCTCGTTGTTAACTTCTTCTTCTGCCATATGCTAAATAGCCCCTACATCCCCTTTTTGTTGCCTGGCAAATACTTGCATGCATAAATCTCCATTCCCTAATGATACATAATGGAGCAGTCATAGTGAATGAAAAAAAAAGGATATTATTTTAATCATTCATCACAGAAAAACAGTAATGCACTCAGATGTGCTCCAGTATGTTCTCGACACTAGTATTTTCTGCACCTAATTAACCCATTTCTATTTTCTTTTCTACCCTGCTATGTCTGATAGTTCACATCCATATTTGATGCTAGGAATGGTTTAAGAAGTATCTTTTTGGAAACAGGCTTCCAAGCAAGCTTTTCTGTGGCTACAGTTCTTCTAGCAGCATGCATATTCTCAGCCAGCAGGTCAATTGCTCTGCATCATTCTTTGCATGGAGGATGTTCTGAGGCTAACTCCCCAGTGACTCACTATCCTATAGGTCAAGTCTACTTCATGTGAATTCCACTGCAAGTGTGTCATTTCTTCTCTATAGGACCCAATGCCAAAAATGCATTTCAGAAGCCACCTCACTGGGTTCTCTTATAATGAAATATTTACCCGTTTTCACAGATGCTTACAGGGTTTGTAACTATTCTCTGTGGCAAAGCAGATTCATTCTGTCCTACATGTTTGTTTAAGGGACAGTTAACATTAGTAAGATTGTCAGTTTGCAAGAATATGTTTGCTGTTTGCTAAGACAGGAACTAGTGAAACTTACTGTAAACATATTTAAAACTCTCTTTTGTGATTCTCTTTACTCATGCCAGAGAGAAATTAGTTTCACCAGTTAATACAGGTTTATGAGAGATTTCAGTTTAATTTTGCACATTCAGTATTTTTTATGGGTTTCCAAAATATAGAAAATTCAGCTAAATTTTGCCAAATGCTAGGCTCTTTTGCATTCAATATTTGGAGTTACACTTGAAAATAATGCTAATTCACAAAAGATGGAATTATTCAAACTGCAGTTCATTTTATCTTTATATAATGCTTAAACTGGACCATTATTTGCAGAGATTATTAGATTTGGCAAAATAAGATAGCTTAATTTCTGAATGAATGTATGCATTAACTAGCAATTCAGTTATTTTGTTTGAAAACAAGTGTGTTTCAATGTCAGAATTATTGTGTGCTTCTGAGATTACGTCACAATCCTCTCACCTGTGGAATATATTTCTCTAGGTAATGTAATTTTACCATCTTGTGGGCATCAAATGCTGAGCAAGGTTTCAGATTTACTGCTGTGTTTGCTCAGCGTAGTTCCTAATAAGGAGTTATTTGGTGGAATTCTAATTCAGACAGAATTTTAGTTTCAGCTGATCTTTGTTCTTCAAGCTCCCTATTTTCTAGGTGACTGTAGATAGAGGAGTTCACATGCTGTTTTCAGCTGTTCTTAAAAATTCATATTCTCTTTTCTTTTTAGCTTTGTGTTTTTGCCTATGATCTCTTGCAGAAAACTACTGCTTCATCTTGCTTCTAGCTATTAATACTGGTTCTATGAACCTTTTAATGTCATCATCATTACCATAGGTTCTTTGCACATCACTTAAGCCTGGGCTGCCTTGAAGATTCACAGCAGCTTTTTCCAAGAATGCACACATCACTGGGTAATATGTACTTAGTGGTTTTGAAATCTTATCAAGAGAGAAATTTGATTCAGCAGCAATTACTTTCCTTATTATTAGGGCACTAAATTCTGTTCTCTGTTTGCTTTTGGCCCATTGGTAGCAGATTCATTTAAATATTTTTAGTCCTCCTATTCCTCAAAGTAAAAGAGAAGTCTCTCCTCTTTGATAGTCACTTAAAAGAGTGTGCTGGTTTTGGCTTGGACAGAGCAAACTTTCTTCACAGTGGCCAATATGGGGCTATGTTTGGATTCGTGCCGAACACAGGGTTGATAATATAGAGATGTTTTTGTTATTGCTGAGCAGAGTTTACACAGAGCCAAGGCCTTTTATGCTTTCTGTACTGCCACGCTGGCAAGGAGGTTGGGGGTGCATGGGAGATTGGGAGGAGACACAACTGGGACAGGTGACCCAAACTGACCAAAGGGATATTCCATATCTGACATCATGCTTAGTATAGAAAGAGGGGGGAAGAAGGAGGAAGGGGGGACATCTGGAGTGATGGTGTTTGTATTCTCAAGTAACCATTACACGTGATGGGGCCCTTCTGTCCTGGCAATGGCTGAAGAACTCCTGCCCATGGGAAGCAGTGAATTCATTCCTTGTTTTGCTTTGCTTGTGTGCATGGCTTTTGCTTTCCCTATTAAACTTTATCTCAAACCTTTATCTCAACCCATGAGTTTCCTAGTTTTTACCCTTCTGATTCACTCTTCCATCCTGTTGGTGGTAGCATGAGCAATCAGCCATGTGATGTTTGGTTGCTGTCTGAGGTTAAACCATGGCAAAGAGTTAGCAGGATTAAAATATTTCTTAATGACTAGTGAATTTTCTACCCTATATCTTTCATGTCTGGAAATGAAGCATTAGTTTCATCAGGTTTTCTTCATTTAGTTTTGGAAACCCCTGGTTCCACATTTCGTTTCCAATAAACCAGGTGAACTTCACAGTTCTACTGCAACCTGCCCATATATATTAACTGAACTCTGTGTTTCAACTAAATTCCAAAGAATATCTGTAAAAACTGGAAATATCTTGGCTGCTTTGGGCATCATCAGTGTGAGTAGACTGAAGACAACATGATGTGCAAGGGTTGAAGAGGTTAAGAATGGAAAGAAATCAGAAAAATCCTAAGTAGGTGGCAAGCCCAAATAACCATGACAAAGCTGTGGCAGCAGTTCACACTAACTGCATCATTCATGCATTTTCCACCTACACCTATACAATTTATCATTTAATATATTTTCAGCA